AGACACAACCTACCTCCTTGAAATCTTGGTTTCAAAAGAAACAGGTGGTGTCCAAACAGGTTAAAATGGTTGATAGAGAGCCAATAGTGGAACATTCTAAGCTTTTGATTGGTTATGCATGTCATATATAGAAGTAAGTGTATATAAGAAAGCATTTCCAAAATTAGAAAGAGGTGGGTTGGGTGCCACTGTTTGATTTATTATGTGAGCAATATCTTAGCAAATTGAAAAGATAAGAGACTTTTATTTTATATTCCAGCTTGTCAGTATTGATAATTTTAGTTCCTAATTTGTACAAAACTATAGACTTAGTATTTTGACATCACAAACATCTACTTTGAACCAGTGCTGCATTCAACATACCATGTAACACACAAAAATTGATGTTAAACTTTTTTTTTAATATTTACTGTTAAATTAAGAATTTGAGTAATGTGTAATACTAAAACTTGAATCATAATCTACAGTTTAATACCAAATTTATTGACCTAAATTCATGAAATAGTAGTTCAATAAAATTTTGAATGCGAGTCAATAAACACGATGACATCGCCTTTCACCCGTGACCTGTCTGGAAAGGGTTAAGGTAAAGAGTACGTAAGTAAAACATATTTCTGAACTGAAGGAGACTTGCATTTAGGTTGAAATGTATTGTTTAGAAAATTCTTCCTGGCTGTGTCCAAAATGTGTAGGGAAAAATCCAGTTAATATTGATGTCTTTTAATAAAGTAATTTGTGCATGAAGATTAAACTGATTGGAAAAAGTTTTAAAGACTGTGGTAAGGAAACAACAAGTTTTACATTCTAGCAATCTGGAATGTAGTCGTCAAACTGAGTGAGCAGACCAGTAAATGTTTGCTTCCATCATACAGAGGTGGACAATAATACACTTGGGCCATGAATGTGAATGACTATATTTAACTTATATTGATTTTTCTGTAAATTTTTTTACTATTTCTAGTGGGTGAGAGGAGAGACTGTGTAGCTTTTCTTTCCACCCTTCCTTTCTCCTAAGTTTCTATTTTGCTAGACAGGTAAAAATTCTACAAGATATGGTAAATAAACTTTGAGACATATTTATATCACAAAACATTGTACATTTAATAATTTTATATCTTAGACTTTACAGTTAGTTTTTTTATTTATCTTTTTTTTTTTTGGTCCATAAATTATTGAACCATTTTTTTAATTAAATAGAATGAGAACTAAATAATATATACAATTCTGGTTTGCTATATAATGGAGGCTAACACAGTTCTTACCAGTCTGTGTTATGCATACCCAAAGGGACACATTGAGGTCCTTATGGGGTACACCAGAACTTTGAAAAGCATTAAAAAGATGCATGTCACATCCCAAATTGGAGGACAGTCTCTGTGAGTTACCAGTGTATTCAATTAGCTAGTATTCAATGCTGAATTGTATATTTTGATTTACATTTTTATTAATATGAATAATCCTTAAGTTTTTATAAATAAATTACATGGCTTAAAGGCCTGACTTAGGGTCTGATAAAAAATTGGGAACCAGTGGGGTAACACTTTAGTTTTGCTATGGTCAGTGGTGCCAGTTGTACACCTTGACATGTTCACATTTCATGGCATAAAGGATGTTGAAGTGATGTTTAATCTCTTCCCACGTATGTGCCAATTTCCAAGGTACATATATATACACTTTGGTGGTTAAGATATGGTTGTGATGGATGGGATGGCTTTCTGTCCTCTTGGGATTTATGTTTTTATACACAACTTTTCTTATTTTAAAATATTTTTCAGATTGGGTTATTTATACTTCAGGCTGTTTTTTGTTGGAAATTTAAAAAGCATTTGAGATTAATAGTTTATATAGAAAAAATCCTAATTTAATTCAAAATATTGTACTTAAACTTTTATCTGAGTACAACTTCAGCTTTATATTTTTTTGTAGTCTTCAATATACTGCCTTAAATAATTAGATGTAGAGATTTTGGTTGTGTTCTTTTGAAGTAGTGGACATCAGGAATTTTGCCAGCTGTTCAGCTCTTATTTTGTTGACTGTTTGTAAAAAAAATAAAAAATGGTAGCCACTTGAATAACAATGACAGCTTAACATTTAAAAAAAGCTCTTGCTCATTCAATTTGTTTTTATACATATTTATTGCCTTGTTCACTAGGGATGATGTAGATCATTATTGTTTGGCTATCACAGTTTGATGGCAATGTCACAGATTTAAATTAATCATGTGGTGATTGAGGTTGAAACCTGGCTTGGTTTGCTAATCATTCTGATTTACCATTTCTTTGTTGTCTCAGAGGATTCACAAGTATATTGATTGCAATATCCATTTCATGTGTATGTATTCTGTTTCTCAATATGTTTGCTAGTAGGCTACATTAATTGTAACCATTTGATTTTGTGAATACAATTGATTCAAAATGGCTCAAAAAGTCACAACTTAAATCTTTTCAAATTAACAAATTGAATTATTTTTGCCAACAACAGAATTTCATTTAACAATTGAGCTTCACCCCTGTCCCCAGAAAGTGTACTAATACCTGGGCCTCTGCCCAACAAGTTTTGCTTCTTTTTTTTTTTTTTTTTGTAAAGATCATAAGATTACAGTTACTTTTGATATAAATATCTGATTTTGGAATATTTTTACCATCCCATACTTGTTACAGTAGTTAAATTGATACTGTTTATTTACTTTATTTTTTGTTTTAGCTGTATATGCATGAAGAAAACAAGATGAACCCTCAGTATGTTGGACCACCACAGCAGTTCACACCTCAACAAATGCCAGATCAAAGCTCATCATATGTACCAGCATCTTCTCCTAATGTGTACAATGGTCTAAATAACCAACCAGGAGCAAGTAATGATTGTTTTTTGTTTTAAATTTTATTCTTAAGTGGTACCCTGTTTCCTGTCTTTTTCACAGCTGAAGCTATGGCTAACAATTTCTGAAAAATTAAATTTTCTTCAGACACTATATAAGGACACACTAGGTTTGATTTTCATTTACCAAAATGTTTTTATTAATTAG